TACTCCTCCTCGGAGCACGTGGCCGTAATACAAGGCAGACAATTCCCGATGCAGATCACTTTATCTTGTGTACAGCTGGCTGGAATCCAGCTGCATTTGTTCTCTCCAAGTACTACCCCCTGCAGTGCTGTCTGAAGGATTTAGGTGCAGTGTAATTAGAGCTGGAGGAGAAGAGCATTCCACTGAAACCCCTCCTCTTCCCGTTCCCCAGAGTGCCCTTCCTCCTCAGTTCCTGAGCTTGTCATGTTTTCAGCATCTGGGATGCTGCTATGAGCAACAAGGCCAACAGAGTGTGAAATCAATTCTTTCGCTGCATACAAAGCCTTGCATCTAATGCCAGGTGTCTCTGAAAAATGAAGGCACACAGAATAAGGGCTGAAGAGAAGGTTGTGAAAAGCCCCTTGGTGCTGGACCATCAGTAAGGAACCAGCTGAGTTGTGCCATGCTGACCAGTTTGTAAAGGGGTCACAGCAGATCTTCTGGCTCAGAGCCGATCAGGATGGATGTCAGCTAGGGGCAACAGAGCACTCAGACAGCTTTTTTTGTTGTTTTTATTTGGTTTAAGCCGTTCTACAGAAATAGGGTAGTCTGTGTCCTGGGAGTGTGTAGGGTGTTGTAGCTGTCTGTGGGCAGTGGAGGTAGGCTTGCAGTGGGCTTGCAGTATTACATCATTCTGGGGAAACTGCCCATTTGTTTCCTGCTCTGCTGGCTTGTCCCTAAGTGGCAGATTTCCAGGGTTCCCGCAGGGCTCAGGGAGCCAGTGTCTCTCCTACATTGTCACTGAAAGGATGAAGTGCAGCTGTAGTTGAGTACAGCTCCAGTGCTCCCCTGCCAAGTGTGATACCACTTTCAAACTCTGACCTTGTATGTTTTTCTGCTTGGTAACTAGGTAGAGAGTGTAGTGATGGGCTGAAGCAGCCCAGTGGTCAGCGGAGTCTCCTCTTCAGATTTAACTGGTCACATTTGTCAGGGCTGTCCTGCACACAGGTGTGATATACAGGCTTTGGAGACGATAATGCTTGCAGGAAGTTCACAGCTGTATAAGCAGATCCCAAGAAAGCCAGGGCTGAGTATGTAGGTCACAGAATCCCAGAATTACCTCAATTGGAAAAGACCTTTAAGATCATCGAGTCCAAGCATAAACCCAACACTGCCAATTCCACCTCTAAACCATGTCCCTAAGCACCTTGTCTACCCATCTTTTAAATACCTCCAGAGATGGGGACTCCACCACTGCCCTGGGCAACCCCTTCCAATGCCTGAGAACCCTTTCAGCAAAGAAATTCTTCCTCACATCCAATCTCAACTGCCCTGGGCACAACTTGGGGCCATTTCCTCTTGTCCTGTCACGTGGTCCTTGGTTGAACAGACCCACCCCCACCTCTCTACACCCTCCTTTCAGGGAGTTGGACAGAGCCACAAGGTCTCCCCTCAGCCTCCTTTTCTCCAGGCTCAACAACCCCAGTTCCCTCAGCCAGGAACTCAGCACACTTGTGCTCCAGACCCTTCCCCAGCTCCGTTCCCTTCTCTGGACACGCTCCAGCACCTCCGTGTCCTTCTTGGAGCGAGGGGCCCAAAACAACCCAGCACTCGAGCTGCAGCCTCATCAGTGCCTGGTGCAGCGGGGAGAGAACTTCCCTGGTCCTACTGGCCACACTGGTGCTGATCCAGGCCAGGATGCCCTTGGCCTTAAACACTGAATGATGAGCATGAAGGCAGGTGTCTAATCTGCTTGTAAAGCAAGGGCTCTCTAGCATCTGACTAGTGGTTGCTGGAAGAGGATCACAGCCTCTGCAGTTTTGCTGTAGAAAAAA